GTTTGTAAGCCGCTCTGAGACTCCGAGTGAAGGGCGGGGCATAAATCCAATCTCCTCTTCTTCTTAAAAATCTTTAACCAAAAAACACCCTCCTAGTTCAGTTGAAAGAAATTTAAATCTGCTTGGGGGGGGGGGTTAGTCACCTTTCCGACCTACCTAGAATGACTTCATTCCTTCTTCTGCCGTGTTCAAAGACCTGTTTAAGAACTCGCCAAGAATATCCCGATAAAATTAATTGCTTCTGTAAAAACAAAACTCTTTGGCCACGGTCCAGAAGAACATGTACATCAGATCCAAGCCTGCAGCTGACCTCTTTGTTAGGATTCTTTTTCTTTTCCTGGCACAGCCTGCTTGTGTTGCCAATCGGCTTTTGAAATGCAGGCCAATTGCGGGGGGGGGGGGCTGATGGACCGAAAAGCAGGGGGATGTCAACTGCAAATGCTCAGCCCCTCACGGCCGTCTTTAAGTCAGTTCGCCAGCTTGCAGCAGTTGTTTGTAAAAACAGCATGCGTAACCGAGTCTCTTTCTAGGATCCACGACGTCATCTTCCACCATCCACAACGAGACTGAAGTTGGCGATGACGACGTCTTTACAGTAAGTAGCACTCGCTTTGGTTCTCGGCAGGAGGCAGACCCGTAGCCAGGGTTTTGGGGCTCGTGGGGCAAATTTTTTTTCTAGTGGGGCTGAAGGTCTCAGTGCAGAAAGAAAAGCCATTTAGCCAATAGAAAGCTGTTGCCAAGATAGATCTCTGAATTGCAAGCGATCGACCACTTGAGATGACAGTTCTCAGCTGCTGCAAGTTAATCACTTTTGCCAGCCTAAGCAACAATTCTGAGAACAAGCCGGCAGGTGGAGGTGATGACTTCTGTAGTCAAGACAGCTAACACAGGCAGAAAAAAATTTAAAAATCCACCACATGTCCACCACATATGGTAATACGACCCAATATGGTTGTTACATTCCCAACAATGAGAATAACTTTTTGAAAGTAACCGGCTAGATCCGCAGGGCTGAAATTTTGCTCGTTCGCCTTGGGTTCCAAACAGGAATGGTTGAAAGGGTACTCGCTGTTGGAAGCAAGTTGAAGAAGCCATCAAACGAAAACCGCCTTATATCCGGAGGGGCGCGTCCCGCTGTTTTGTAAATCAGCCGGTTGGGGCATTGCTCCTGTTCTGTATCTCAGTCTTTGGAAGAATTCCCTGTTTCATCCATCCGTACTTGTTTAACGGATGCAAGCAATTTAGAAAAGATCTTCCTTCTCCAATTCTGAAAAAGGAAAGTCTTTGCCTTAAGAATCTTGTAACGAACGTTGTATTTCTAGCGCTATTCTTGTTTGCTGCGTTGAGCAGGGCGAAACTTTTAGCTCAGTGCACATTCCTCGATCACAGCTGTTGCTCAAGTGTGTATAAATTCGTATGAATACATTGAATGTTTCTACATGATGTGTGATGAAAGTTATTGCATTGTGTCATTCGTGTTGGAAAGTGTTTAATAGAGAGCTATATAATGTTTGATGGTCTGTTTTCGGTGTAATTTGGTTTATAGTGTTTATCTACTCACACCGAACTTCCCTTTTTGTGTTTGTATTGCATGGGCTGCCCAGCATAACCAGGGGGGAAAGTGTGCAGGTCGTACGAGCAAGTGCTTCCGAGGACACTCCCAGCCACACATGTTGCCCTGTGCAGTCGAGGAAAGGACTGTGCGCTTGGGAGATGGGAGGGGTTGTGAGCGGGCATAAGAACATAAGAGACACCAATGTTGGATCAGGCCAGTGGCCTCTCCAGGCCAACACTCTGTGTCACACAGTGGCCGAAAATACCAGGTGCCATCAGGAGGTCCAGCAGTGGGGCCAGGACACTAGAAGCCCTCCCACTGTTGCCCCCCCCCAAGCACCAAGAAGACAGAGCATCCCTTGCCCCAGACTGCGAGTTCCTATCTATAAGAACATAAGAGAAGCCAATGCTGGATCAGGCCAATGGCCCATCCAGTCCAACACTCTGTGTCACACAGTGGCCGAAAATACCAGGTGCCATCAGGAGGTCCAGCAGTGGGGCCAGGACACTAGAAGCCCTCCCACTGTTGCCCCCCCCCAAGCACCAAGAAGACAGAGCATCCCTTGCCCCAGACTGCGAGTTCCTATCTATAAGAACATAAGAGAAGCCAATGCTGGATCAGGCCAATGGCCCATCCAGTCCAACACTCTGTGTCACACAGTGGCCGAAAATACCAGGTGCCATCAGGAGGTCCAGCAGTGGGGCCAGGACACTAGAAGCCCTCCCACTGTTGCCCCCCCCCAAGCACCAAGAAGACAGAGCATCCCTTGCCCCAGACTGCGAGTTCCTATCTATAAGAACATAAGAGAAGCCAATGCTGGATCAGGCCAATGGCCCATCCAGTCCAACACTCTGTGTCACACAGTGGCCGAAAATACCAGGTGCCATCAGGAGGTCCAGCAGTGGGGCCAGGACACTAGAAGCCCTCCCACTGTTGCCCCCCCCCAAGCACCAAGAAGACAGAGCATCCCTTGCCCCAGACTGCGAGTTCCTATCTATAAGAACATAAGAGAAGCCAATGCTGGATCAGGCCAATGGCCCATCCAGTCCAACACTCTGTGTCACACAGTGGCCGAAAATACCAGGTGCCATCAGGAGGTCCAGCAGTGGGGCCAGGACACTAGAAGTCCTCCCACTGTTGACCCCCCCAAAAAACCACAGGGCAACGCAACAATGCACAGGCCGATGTGGGGTACACAGGTAGGGGCCGAAAGTGAAGTTTAAATGGGGGTCCTGGAGGTGGGTGGGGACGGGGAGCTGAGCACTTTCTTCCCAGGGCCCCTCAACATCTGGAATCGGCCCTGGTCTTAGTTATGGCCTTTGGTAGCCGATAGGGGGGTGGTCCTCATCGGGAGCGGTCACTGGATTTGGGCGTGATGGATCAAAACGAATTGCAGGGAATTGTTCTCTGTGGCCGCGGGTGCCTTTGTTTCTTTTCACAAAACGGCTTTGCTGCCGTCGAACCGGCCTGCCATCCTGAGGTCTTCGTGGAGTCCAAAGAGCCGGTGATAAAGAACCTAGGTTGTCGGGTGAAAATGCTAGTTGTATAAATCAGTGGCGCTAACGCTGTGGCTTGCGCCCCACGTGTGATTCTTTCGCGTGCCCCATCTGGATCTTCCCATTTGGTTTCTGGAGGTTTACTTCGCTTCAGGCCTTTTTTTCGGGGAAAAGAGGTGCCGGAACTCTCAAAAGGGAAATGAAGGAGAAACACACGGGATTCTTTGAAACAATATTATTTTCGTGCATCACGGACTTAAAAAGGTAAAGGTTCCCTTGCTCGAAAGCCAGTCGAGTCTGACTCTAGGGTTGCGGTGCTCATCTCCGTTTCAAATCCGAAGAGCCAGCGCTGTCCGAAGATGTTTCCGTGGTCATGTGGCCGGCATGACCAAACACCGAGGCGCACGGAACGCTGTTACCTTCCCACCAAAGTGGTACCTGTTTATCTACTTGCAATTTCTTGCTTTCGAACTGCTAGGTTGGCCGGAGCTGGAGCTAGAGACGGGAGCTCACTCCATCATGCGGCACACCCGGGTCTCGAACTGCTGAACTACCGACCTTCCACAGCCTGCAGTTCAGCGTCTTAACCACTTGAGCCACCGCTGCTCACGGACTTACCTCTACTTTAAAGCCGTTTCCAAACTTTAGACATGTCACCAACTTCCTCAGTTCTTCTTCGGGTCTTGCTTTTGGATGCCTAACGCTGAATGATGGCCTTAAATCATTCCCTCATTGAAATCTTATTTTTTTAAATTTTAGTTTAATATTTTTGTGACATTGTGCTCCCCGGTGCTCTTCATGAACTTTTTGAGATTTTTTTTGAGAATTTTGTTGCCACTAAGAGGTTCCAGAACTCTGTTCCGGCACATTTCCCCAGAAAAAAAGGGCGTGCTTCGCTTGCATCATATACATCAGGTGGTGCTCGGGGCATGCATTAGTTACATGGCTCTTTTGGTTGATGGTGATGTTGAATGTGGCTCGCTGTAAGCCACAGAGAGAGTATCACAGGTAGAGAGTTTTTGCTTGGGGTTGCAAAACTTGGCTTTGTGTGATTCCTAGAACCAGTTTGTTGAGGTGTACGTCATTGGTTTACTGGCTCGAATCCTACCCACAATGCTCTGAAATAGTTAAAGCCTTCCTCCAGCCTCGGGAGGACCCCTTAATCTGGAGAAAAGCTTCTGATTGGCTGAGCGGAGGGGTAGGATTAGAGTTGTCAGCTTCCTGGTGGGGCTGGGAGATCTCTAGGAGTCGTTACTGATCTGCAGCCTCCTGAGATCAGTTTCATTGGAGGAAATGGTGCCTTCAGAATTCAGGCTCTGTGGAATGCTGACCTAGATGCATGCCAAGGTCATAGCTTGCCTGGGGCAACAACAAAAAACCTCAGTCCAGTCCTGAATGGATCAGCATACCAAGTAAATTTGGACTTTTGGGTCACAATGCCAAAAAGTTTGGGAACCGGTACTCTCTGGCATCCCATCCCTTCTGAGCGCCTTCGTTGAGACCTCTGGCTACCCCCCCCCAAGTCTCTTCCTGGCGTCCCTGTACCCCCTGATGTGGCATTTTGGGGCTCTCTGCCCTGTTGTGGGCTGTCCAGAGGAACTGGTTGGCCACTGTGTGAGACGGGATGCTGGACTAGATGGACCACTGGTCTGATCCAGCAGGGCTCTTCTGATGTTCTTATGAAGGCCTCGGCCTCTTTGCCCTGTTGTTGGCCCTCCAGAGGAACTGGTTGGCCACTGTGTGAGACAGGATGCTGGACTAGATGGACCACTGGTCTGATCAAGCAGGGCTCTTCTGATGTTCTTATGAAGGCCTAAACGAACTGATGCAGCAGCCAAATCGCTCGCTCACAACTTTAATGCCAGGACCTCACCAAGTAGAATTTTTGCTCACAGGACTCCACAGCTTAGAGGGAGCCTTGGTTGTAGTATATAAAATGCAATTAAAAAGTTATATATATAAAAAAGAGGAAGACGGAGAAGACTTTGGGTTTGCGCCTGGTGAGGAAAAATCTACTGCCGAAAACTTCACATCACGCGCAGATTTAAAAACGTCAATGCAGGGAATTTCACTACTGCGGAAACGGTCTCACTGATTTTATGGTTTGTATTTTGAAATCGCCCCTCACCCTTCCCCTCAGCTCAGCTGCGCGGAGTAAGTGAATCCGTGGCTGTGGAGTGCGAGACTGTATTCCTTCACGTCCCTGTGGGCCCTTCTCGACTTAAGTACCCTTATCTGAAGGGGGAACTAAGTGGAGAAAGTGGATTAATTAAACTGGAGGCAAAGTCCACATTTCAGACTGCCGGCGAGTCAACGTTTTCTCGGCGGAGGCAGAAGGAACAGACGGAGTCAGGTTCTCTCCAGAGAACAGCGAGAGCTCTGTGTAACGGCATTCGTTTTCGGGCATATGGAACACATTTAGGGACTGCAGGGAGACTCTGGCATTCAGGTAGGGAGGAGAGCTTAAGAGGCGTCACCTTCGGAAACACGGTCGATGCTAAAGCGCTGTTTAAATCCCCTTGAATTTCACCGAACGAGAGTTCA